TTTTTTTTTTTTTTTTCCCCCTCTTGTCAAGTCTCTTATTTATCATCTATTTAACACATTACAAAACCAAAATAATTATAATCGTCGTGCAAAGCTTTCATATCAATCGGCGTTTCGTTGGAACAACTAGTTGACGTTATTGCAGTGCTTACGACTAACGTGCTTCTTCAAATTCGACTTCTTGTATGTACGAAAAACACAATATGGACAACACTGCTGCTTGTCCTTGCCACAAAATATTTTCTGATGCTCCATCAGATGACCTTTTCTCTTGTAACTTTTCAAACACCTCGTACAAGAATATTTATATTGTTGCTTATCTTCTTTGAAGCCAGCTGCCGCACACTCGATGCCCTCACTCTCGTCGTCGTCTTCGTTTTCATTCTCGCAAGCATCTTTGATTATGACGCGGTTGCCCGTGTACGTTTTCGTACTTTCGCTTTCAAAATTAATCCGCGTGCTTATCACGTAAGCGTCGGCCACGTCGAGCAATTCCATGCGTTCGCCGATCCCTTTCCCGCCCGTGTACGTGAAATCTGAAACAAAAAAAATACCACGTGTCTTTACATGCGACTGCGCTTACACGCGAAACCGTAACAATGTTTAAAGGCATATGAGAGAAAGAACACATGTTGTATTTCACAGATTTCTGTTTGAATTTTTGCGTTTTTTCGTTTCCGTTTCCATTTGCGTTAGCGCAACGTCTACTTCAACAATCGGTCGCATGTTCTTCGCTGAAAGGCTCGTAAAACATCCTTTAGAGACTCGTCATCGTCAGGTGAGAGAAGAGTCGTCGAATTTTTACAATTTGTCTAGCGATGATCAACTGCAAGCAATATCGGATTATCGATTAATTTTGGCCTGTTGACTGTTTCAACAACGATCGTTGAAGCCGAAGTCGTTGATGAAGCGTAAAAGAAAGAAGAAGAGAAACAAGAAGAAAGTAAAAGAGGAAAGTAAAAGAAGAAAGAAAAACAGTAACGAAACGGGACGAATCGTCGAAGAATCTGTTCAGATGATTGGATCTGTACACAGGTATTTATTTAAAAAGCAATCGACTGCCGGACATCGTTACACAGGAACACTTAACCATCACTGCGCAGCATTTTTGCTCGATCTAATAGATTTACGGATCTATCGAATCGAATGGATAAGATAGGCGAGATGTTCATGCATCGTAGACAAATGACTCGCGTACATTGTTCCTTCTAATCTATCGATAACAAATACGATTCGTCTTCCGCGTTCATCATACGATTACACAAAGAATGAGATGAAAGGTGACTGACTGGTTCACTACTTGATTAGCGTGAATACTTATATGAAATTGAATCCGTTACGTCGATACAATTTTTTTTAATACGATTTCAATGAAACATTGGCTTCTCACGCGAGAAGCGAATTCCTTATTCTTCTCATTCTCCACCATCCTCCCTCTCTTGTCTCTCTCTCTTATGTAACCTCGAGTTCACGTGAAAACACAGGCAAAAAAGAAATTTGAATACGGTCTTTCGTCTTTCATCCCGCTTCTAGAGTAAATGTCACGTAGACGTGAACGAATGAACTTCTTGAACGCGCCTCTCGCATATGGCGTCACGTTACGTGTCAAATGTTAATTTATCGAGATGTGGAAGCGTGTCCGTTCGAACAAGGAAACGCGGCCCGCGAAACATTCGAATTCATTCGGCCGTGAATTCTTGTTCGAAACACGCGAGAGAGAGGGAATTGAGCATACAACGTCGTAATTACAATTCTATCGCAATTACTCACAAAATCTCAAACGGTT